GCCAGGCAGGATGGTTCACAGCTGTAATCCCATCACTTGGGAGGCTGAGGCAGGAGAATTGAGAGTTTGAAGCCAGGCTGGGCTACATACAGCAAGAACATGGTGGTTTTGTTTTGTTTTTAAAGAGTGGGCTGAAGACGTGGCTTGGGCATTAAGAGCACTTGCTGTTCTTCCAGAAGACCTGGGTTTGCTTCCTAGCACCCAGTGGTGGCCCTATCTCCCTCTTCCAGCTGTTTCAGGCACTATATCCATACCAGTATATGTACAGGCAATCAAAACACATAAACAAGTCATTAAAAGATAAAAAGAGAAGTGAAAAGGGGTGGGGGGGCAACTCTGGATGCAGGTGCCTAAGTGTGTGTCCCAGATGTGCTGCTTGGTATGTGAGTTCAGTCAGTGACCTGACCTCTCTGTGCCTCAGTCTTAAAGGGCCCTAAAGGCCCCAGATGCATAAGCCCGCCCTAGATGCTTAGCAGGTCGCCTGTTACCAGGTCAGTAGTGCATGGGGATTGACAGGCTGTGAGGATGGAAGAGGAGGGCTGGGATTGCTCTGACCTCTGCTCTCTCCTGACCCCAGATGACTTCCGGATCTTCTGTGGGGATCTGGGCAACGAGGTGAACGATGACATCTTGGCACGTGCCTTTAGCCGCTTCCCATCCTTCCTTAAGGCTAAGGTGATCCGTGACAAGCGCACAGGCAAGACCAAGGGCTATGGCTTTGTCAGCTTCAAGGACCCCAGTGACTATGTGCGTGCCATGCGAGAGATGAATGGTAGGTGAGGCCTCCCCTGAGGATAGTGGGTATGGTAGGTCCCACTAAACCTCATTCCCTGTGTCTAACCTTGAACCCTCCATCCCCACAGGGAAGTACGTGGGCTCACGCCCCATCAAACTTCGCAAGAGCATGTGGAAGGACCGGAACCTGGATGTGGTTCGAAAGAAGCAGAAGGAAAAGAAAAAGTTGGGCCTCAGATAGGGTCTGTGGCTGGGCACCCCATCACCGTGCTGGCTCCTCCCCACAGCTGTCTTTGGAAAATCCCAGCTGTGCACTCACCCATCACCAGTTTCAATAAATTTACCTTCATTTCCAACCCTGGCTGGATCTAGAAGCACTCTGGAGACAGGGCCTGGTACACCCCACTTGAGATCCTGGAGCTTTGAAAGTTTACCATGCACACATCCACATGCACAATTTAGAGCCTCTCTTGTGTGCCCATTTTATTATTTGTGTGTGTAGCCTCTGTAAGAACAGCAGAGGACAACTTATTAGAGTAGGTTCTCTCCTTCCACCATGTGAGTTCTGGGGATGAAACTCATGTCATCATGCTTGGTAGCAAGCATCATTACTCACTGAGCCATCTTGCCATTGCCCTCTTTTGGTTTTGTCAGACAGGATCTTATATCCCTGGCTGGCCTCAAACTCTAGGATTACATGCCTGTGCTCATACCCAGTTTTTGTAGTGTTGGGGATTGAACACAGGGCCTCTTGCATGCTAGGTAGGCACTCTGCCATCTGAGCCTAATCTTCAGCTTCTCGCCTCTTAATCTCTGGAGCTTGGGAGTTGGAGAGATGACTCAGCAGTTAAGAACACTTGCTGTTCTTCCAGAGGACCCGAGTTTGATTCCCAGTACCCACATGGTAACAACTGTAACTCCAGTTCCAAGGGATCCAACACCCTCTTCTGGCCTCTGCAGGCTTTGCACAACACTGGTGTACTTGCATACATGCCGGCAATACTCATACACATAAAACAATAATAAAATCTCTGAAGGTCATGCTGAGTGTCACCATTCCAGCTAAGGAACTGGTGCTGTGGTCAAAGGGTGCCAGGGTCGGGGCTGGGGAGATGGCTCAGCAGTTGAGAGAACTGGTTGTTCTTTCAGAAGACCTGGGTTCATATCCCAGCACCCACATGGCAGCTAACAACTGTCCCTAACTCTAGTTCCAGGGGATCTGACAGCCTCTTCTGACCTCCTCTGGCATTGCATGACACAAGTGCACTTACCTACATGCAGACAATACATGCATACACATAAAATTTAAAAAACACTTCTTGCAGAAGACCTGGGTTTGAATCCCAGCACCCACATGGCAGCTAACAACTGT